CCTTCCCTTCCCTTCCCCTCCCTTCCCTTCCCTTTCTTTCCTAATTGTATTTCACACTCATTGATTGTTTTAGAATTTCATGTTCTAGAACCAATCAGGCTCCAAATTTTGGCTTATTTTCCCAGTTATGAGGAACACGGGTATTTAAAAGCACTATCAGCCGCTTGTTGGTCCTTCAGAGCCTGTTATCTGCAAGTTATCACACATGAAAAAGCTTGCACAGACTGTTGTCCAAACTAATAAAAACTACCCTTATTTTTCTCTCATATCCAAAATATTAAGGTTTTGCCCCCTTTGTTCACATTGATCATGTTTAATCCTTTTCATTTGAAATTATTTTTCAAACACCTTCCATTACTGGCACCAATGACACAGAGGGAAATGTATCACATGGGAAATAAAAGCAAATCTTAAGCTGTACTGAGAGTATTAAGAGATGCTTAGGAGTATTAAGCATATCCTTCATATGCTGAATTCAGTTATTTATCTGGTGGGTGCTTGACAACTTATAGGTATTAGGATAAGCCTTATGAAGTTGACATTTCATGGAACATAAATAGTAAATAGCATTAATGTTAAATAGTTCAACTTAATACTAAGTTCTGTGTCACAAAGCTGGTTAAGAAAAGTCAAGGTTGAATTGTTATGTAAATAATCTTAATAGCATTCAGAGAGGTCAAATGTTCTTTATATGTTCTTTTAAAAAAACGACAGCAGATTGGGGTGATTAAATTATTTCTCATTGTAAAGAGCCCAGGCAGTACTGGACACAAAGTAGACTCTCAAGAGATGCTTCTTCTAATAAGTAGGAGAATCTACTTATATTAGTCATATTCACAATTGAAAGACTATAAAGATAACTTGAGAATATTACTTAAAATCCTTTACAGTATTGCTAACTGAATTAATAATAACAAATAACAAGAACAAAGGGAAAAATAAATTTATAGGCTTCATTGCTAGCAAAGGCAACTACCTATTCTTGTTGTAAATGAACTCTCCTAAGAGTTGAATATTCTCCTAGAGCTCACTTATATTTCTGTCATGATCCAATAAGTTCCAAGAATGAGAGAAACTATATTTCACATAGCCTACATGAGCCCTGGCACATCTAATTTGCAATCGCCACTTTTAATTTACATCTGAAAAATGAATGAATGAGCAACTACAGGGATATAAAAGGCAGGGTCACATAAACACAGTGCATAATTCTATTGCACCTGATGCTCAACTCTGAACAAATACACTCCATTATTTGTGCTGGCTTTGTATCAAAAGGGGTAAAATGAGTTGCTTTTCTACCTTATGGTAGACAAGTAGAATCTGTCAAATAACATAGCATTCACCCAACCTACTTACTTGATCATATATATGTAACCAAGTTTTCACTTTAATGGCATTCCTTTTTAATTTAAGCAAAGCAAAATGGAAATAACACTGCTTTAGATGCAAAAGTATGGTGGAAATGTCTTCTCTAATAAAGCTATTTTAATGAAAGAAACTCTATGAGGTTCCTGATTCCTACTCAGTATTTAACCACCCAAATTAGATTCACTTCACTGGCTGTCTTCATCAGATTTCACAAAACTGAGGACTATACAAAAGAAATAAAAAGTGAGGGTTTTCCATAAAGTAGGATGCTGAGTTTTGAACACATTCAGATTAAGTGAAGAAACTTGATTAAACCAACAATTCAAGATAATGATGAAATGAATGCTGGAACTCAGCTGCCTGACACGATTTATCATTTATCATATGAATTAAATTTTCTGTTAGCTAACCCACTTTAAAAAACTGTATTCAAACATCTCCCTTCAGGGAATTGGCCATATGTGGAATTAACAGACTCTTGGGTCCACAGGAGGCTTGCCTTGCAATTTCTGGGTTTGTTGGAAAAGTGAGTTTATTGCATTATATTAAAATGGACACTGGGAGATTTATTGGAACATCTGACATTCTAATGGGCATGTCTATTTAATCAAATGTGCCACCATAAGAATATATACAGGTGCAGCAGCAGTTGTCTTCATGAGTGATAATAGCAAACAGGGATGTGTATGGCCAGATGCTAAAGAAGGCGCTTCAAATAAGGAGGCGAGTGCATGTGGCGATGATAGGGAAAGAGCTGTCATGATGTGCGACGTGGATCTTTCTAAGTGCGTTCACAACCCTGTAGCAAAATGTTTTCCATAAAACTTTCATTCCACAAATAGAATTAAAAAATGGGGTGGTAGCATATGGCCATGTAAATTGTAAATGCAATCCACATGTCCTCAACAATGCCAGTGTGGATGGGCTGATGAAGATGCAAATGGGGAAAGGTATACGAGTAAGTTGGCTACCTCACAACACCCAGATGGCCCAGAAATTCTGGATCTATTTTGTGAATATCAAAAGGAAAAATATGATCAGAATATAATTTCAGCTCTCATATTCACAGTATCACAGACTTAAGATTTTATCTAGCTTAGGTATCACAAGATGCCTCGGGAGATTTCAGGGCTTTATACATCATATATGAAGGACAAACGGGAGGCAAACCAATTATAAAGAGGTGGAGGCCAGATAATTTCCAATTATTGATACCACACTGTAGGGAGATGGCTCAAGATGGATTTGCTAAGGAAATTATGTGATGAGGTCTTAAAGAGTTTAGTTAGCTGGAAAGGAGTTTCATTTTGAGCACAGTCACCCCTCAGTAACCAAGTGGGATTGGTTCCAAGATCCTATGGATACCAAAATCGAAGGATGCTCAAGTCCCTTATATAAAGTGGTGCAGTATTTGCATACAACCTATGCAATCCTCCCTTATACTTTAAATCATCTCTAGATTACCTAGAACACCTAATACAATGTAAATGCTAGGGAAATAGTTGTTATACTATATTGTTTAGGGAATAATGACAAGAAAAATATTCTGTACATGTTCAGTTCAGACACAACCATGGTAGGCCTAACTACACAGTACACGTCAGCAACAGTGTAATATTTTCCCCCGGAATATTTTCCACCTGTGGTTGATTGAATCTGTGGATGTGAAGGGCTGACTT